AAACATAACCTCGTCCCCTTTGTACTGCGCCCCGTAAGTAATGAGAGGAATGAACAACGTGGAAAAGGGCAACAAGAGAACCTGAGGATGATGGGCAGAAATCTGGAATTACAACATCTGCAGTCCTTCCAAACGGCTCATAGGACCAAATCCAGCCTCCCCGACCTGGCACACAGGTGCTGGTGGGTTCGCAGACATGAGCAGCTCTCTGGCCCCGAGCCCTCCACAGAGCCCACTCTGGCGAGGCATCTGCATGCTGTCCCGGGTTGGCTGGTGCCCCACTATGCTGGAAGGCATCAACCCTGCCCCCCACTCTCACCGGGCTCCCAGCAAAGCCATGCCCTCTTCCAGGGACGTGTCTGTTCTGGAGCATGTGCTCCTGGAGTAGGGCCCAGGCTGCTGCCACCGCAGATGGGAAGCACAGCGGCGGGTTCCACGGCTGGCACGTCACCCCCATGACTGCACGGGCAGCCACCCAAAGAACCCGAGATCTGTTGTCTCTCCAGACAGGTAACACGTGGAGACCAGTGCTAAATCCTGCACTGCTAAGACATGGATTTTCGGCTGAAGAAATGTGTCGATTTTGTATGGAAGAAAGGACAGAGGAGGAGACATGGGAATTAGGACAAGCGTGAACACCACACCAGAGAAGGAACAGAAGAGCTGAGTATGAAAGGTGCTCTAGCCTTCCTACATGGGAAAGAGAGACGGTTTCTGCAGAGCGCCACAGAACTCAGCCAGGACCAGCTCAAGAAGTCACAGGTGGGCGGCAGAGGGGACGCCGCACCTCCACAGCCTCCTGCCCAGCCTCTGGCCACGACCCCACCGCCTGAGTCCTCTCTGAACAACCCACCCTCAGGCCCTCGGTTAGTTCGCAAGCTCTGTGACTGGGGTTTATGAGGAATCACACACCCTGCCGTAGTCACAAGGAGCTCAGAACCATGACCTACACCCCGAGTCCACACGCTGCACCCCCACTACGGGGAACCATGACCTAAAAACCCGAGTCCACATGCTGTCCCCCGCTATGGGGAACCATGACCTAACACCCCGAGTCCACATGCAGCACCCCCGCTATGGGGAACCATGACCTAACACCCCGAGTCCACACGCTGCACCCCCACTACGGGGAACCATGACATAACACCCCAAGTCCACATGCTGCACCCCCACTATGGGGAACCATGACCTAACACCTGAGTCCACACACTGACCCCCG